CATGATCTCAACTATTAAAATTATTATAATATCCACAAAACCCCTTCTGATACTAATCCAACATTTGTTTATTTTTATCATTATTCACCCAACAATATGATCTCAATGTAAATTGATCAACTGGTAGAACTGACTAGATCAGATAATTTATTTTTATTTTCAATCCAGAACATTGATATCATTAATAATAATATTATCAGATTGGATGAATGCAACATTAAGATAAGTGATAATTTATTCAATATTATTTTATTTATGCATAAAAATAGAAAATTCTTCATCTAAAATGTAATCTTTTCCACCCCACCCCCAAAAAAAACAGGAAGAAAGTAAAAATAAAGTTTTAATTCTCAATAAAATTGTTCGATACAAATTAACATTTAGATTATTTCTGTTCTTTTTAGACACCTTGTAAGAGATACCAGATGGTTAGATTGAAATTTATCAGATATGTGATGATTTAAAAGAATTGAATTCTAAAATTATTATTAGTTGAAAGATATCATATAGATATGTATGTAACTAGTTTGATCTATTATTTATAATGCAGTCAGTCAGTCAGCTACAACGTAGGACCAGGCACATATATGCATCGGTCTAAGTTGCCATACCTTATTAGCACAACAAGATGAACACCGAATCCATAGAAGTAGTTAATTCAATGGTGATAATATATATAAAAGAAAGATTGCATATAAGGACACAGTACAGGAAGAAATAATTAATTCATAGAAAGAAAGATATGAAACGATTATAATCTCATAGTTTAAGGGAAGTCAGAGAGTGTATACACCGAAGCTATTGTGATCGATTCTGAGCCATGTCAATAAGAGTCTCCAACCATAGTGATTTTTAATAAAATATGGCATTAATTATAATCAATTTCACTTCACAATAGCCATAAAAAGAAAACATTATCTCTGATAAATAAAATTCATATCTATTACACAAGCTATTGTTTAAATGGACTCAGTAGCTCAGTTGATGAGATTTTGATGTCTGAAGGGGGGATGGGTAATGGGTTCTAGTCTCAATATGAAGATCAATACAGATCCAGTTGACGAATTCCAAATACCCAGGTCTTAGACTAAAGTACTAGCAACTATCCAACTTTACGAAAAAAACTTGTGATGAAGGGCTAAAATCAAACCAATTATCTTAGGAAGCACATGAACCAATAAAAACTGATCTTTCGTAGACCACATCAACACTACAAATTAAATATGATATTAATATTTGAATAATTTTGTGCAGATTTTGAGTATTGGTTGAGGGCATTTGTCATCATGATGAACTGACGTTAATCAAAGAATTATTAAAAACTATAGAGACTAGAAAACTACTTTCGCATTTTACAAAGTTTGAAGAGAAACACTTAAATTAATGGTAAAAATAAAATTAATTGTTAATAAATATAATAGTAATAGCAATTTGTTCACTAACGATTCCCCCAAGAAAACCACCTATCTTGACCAGTTTAATTAGTTCAGTATTTTATTAAACTATTATTTTATCCTAAATATTTTCATGAATTATTATAAACCTTAGTTTTTTCTTTACCATTTATTTCAATCTGGGATTTTCTTTAATGATGCAATACTGGACTCCCGATTACAAATTTAAACTAATTTAATTTTTATCACTATGTAATGATTGTGTATTATCGCATCGTTAACCATTCTTAGTACTATTTATTTATTACAATGATTCCATATTTAAGAGTACGTTTTGTTTATTTGGTTGGTACTGTACTATCGTTCTTGAGCGATTGTTAATTGAAAACTGAAAAATTGTATAATTTATTTAAAATTATAACAGTTAAATTCATGAGCCGATCTAAGCTAGACTACCATTGAAAAGCTGGAAACTCTGGACTGCCGTTTTGTTCTAGTATGAGATTACTCAACAGTGAACATCCATGATCACACACCAAAGGGAATCGAACCCTAGATCTTCGAGCTTACACGCAAACGCCTAACCTCTAAACAGATGAGCCGGCATCCAACGGTGTTAATGTCTAACTTCAGTCGATTTTTCTAGCCCTTCATTCCTTGTCTGTCTCCACCTGAAACGGATTGGACTCTACTGTTCAAGGCATTTATTTATTTAAACTTATCGATTGCCGAATGGTAACGAATATTCTAATTGTTTTTTTTTATGTGGTTGGTTTGACTCTAAAATACAGTCACTAGTGAGTACTTAGCAATTCTTACCATCTCAGACACTGTTGGTTCACCTCTATTCAAACTTTAAAGCTAAATGTTGACTATACAAGTTTTGTAGGTTAGTGCATATCATATAGTCTGGAAAATTGGAGAAAAAACCAACTTAAGCAACAAAACACAATTCAAAACAAACGGTAGATCAATAAATATATTTAATCAACAAACAGACATACGAAACACACATTCTTTAAGAGTTAAAAGTTTATAAACCAAAGCTATAACAAATTTTTGGCGCTAATTGAACTCTAACAGTTAAATTACAATATGACTAACAGTCTAAATAATATTCATACATGATACACACTATGTTAAGTTATTTAATCTATTGGTTACATAATAACTTGACCGATATTATTCAATTAGTATCAGAATCTAAACAAACATGGCGGTGATTACGACTCAGTGATGAATCAGTCTAATATATCTGAGACCTACAGGAAGTCGGAAGCTATCAAAATATCTTAATGGTGACCTCTGACTAAAACTTAATGTGTGTGTGTGTGTGAATCGTTAGAGGAGCATTAGTATCCTTAAGATTCCAAATGCAAAGTCTTGATGACGTCTATCTAGACCCATGATTATCTATTGATTGCTTCCAACTAACTGGTTGTGTACTCATGATTTAAAAGGCAACTATAAAAAATTACAACCACTCGATGTCCTTCTATTAATTTACTCGATAAACATAGACAAATGATAGTTAGAAGATTATTGTTTAGTGATCAGAATTCAAATATACCCCACGACTATTAGTTCAAAATACAACTTGAGATGTATATAGACAGGATTGGTAACTGATTGTAAAGGAAATCACTTATTTCCTCGCATACATTCTGGTATCTTACAAATTGTCTAGTGAGTACTATTCACAAAATGTAACCTTAACATGGCTTAGTTTCATCGGTTTGCATGACTAGAATATTTTTATTATATGTATTGTGTGTTGAGTAGAAATTTGGTCTTTATGCTTTTGATTGAGATCATGAAGCGATTGATGTTAGACCATTAGTGAAAACATGGAAGCACCAGGCGGACGTTTCGTTCCCTTGTGTTTTGACAATAAAACAATGTACCAGACTCCTCAGCAGTGCACGTCCATAGCCCCACACCCCGCAGGATTCGGACCCAGGACCTACTGGTTTCGCGCGCAAGCACCTAACCATTAGACCATTGAGCCGGCGTCCAACGGTGTTAATGTCTAACATCAACCAATCCACGAAGTTGTGCCATCGTATACCATTGTCTTCAGTGAGTTGATATCTCACAACAGACGTAGTTGAACTCCACTGGCTCAGTGGTCTAATGGTTAAGTGCTTGCGCGCGAAACCAGTAGGTCCTGGGTTCGAATCCCGTGGGGTGTGGGACCGTGGATGCGCACTACTGAGTAGTCCCGCAGTAGGACGAAACGGCCGTCCAGTGCATCCAGGTTTTCCATGGTGGTCTAGCTTCAACTGACTCATGATTTCAATCTGTGAAATTTCTGGAACCTCCACAAACCCCTTCTGAAAAGAATGTATATCGAATTCATTTCAAAATATAACATGTTTTACAAATTTCTTTCAATAAAAGTATCCATCGTAGACTTTGAATAAATGAAAATATGAACTGTATTAAAGTCACTAATGTATTATATACTTGGAAAATAATCACTTTTAAGTGCTTACATTAGTTTGTGTTTACTTTGTTTGTGATATAAAAGTCATTTGATGAGGAAATCATCTTTCGGTAATTCAATTCTGTTTACGTTCGTAATGTTAGGTGATATAAGTTAGTCGAAAAGAAACCCTGGAACTTGATTTCGTGATAGTTGGTGTTCGACAGTAAAGCGTACGTGTGATCTTCATGGAAATGTTGCTCTCTGTAGAATTAAAACCTGAGTCAATTAACTTCATAATCTGAAAAGTTATCGCTGAGTTATTCGGACTTCAACTAACATAATGCTTGGGAGGATTGCTGGAATCCCTGCAGATAGATATTTGATCCCCTCTTGTTGGGAATATTTGTATTGATTCTCAGGTATCAAACCCTTTAGTATTAACTGTCTCTTTCATTGTTTAGCGCTCTACTTTGCGTTAGAGAAACTTCTGACTGTATAGCACAGGCTGTACCGTTTGAGGTATTTTGTACTTTTGATATAATTTGTTCTGTTTTCTAAATCAGAACCGTTTATATTGAGCACAGAGTTTGTGCTTTGATATAATATAATACGAGTATCTCAAAAACGCGTTGTGAGCTATACAGAGGAACGTGGTCTGGTCTAATCAAATAAATTTTGGGTTCGTCAGTCCGTTGTTCCAACCGAATATTGGCTGTTCGGTCGCTACATAGTGGATCAGTTAATCTCTTCTTAGTGTGTAAAGTTTTATGTTTACTCTGAAACCTGAAACTTAAGTTTCATCTGTTTTGAAATATGGGAGGTAGAAGAGGACATACTGAATGATAGAAACATTGCAATGTAATAATCATATAATATTCTCCATAATTTAACAATGCTCTCCTAGTTAACCGTAGTCCATGAAGCAATTACTATTTAATAACAAAACTCCACAAGCAGTTTTCATCTTAATCATTAAACTTGGCTAATATTAAGACCGTTGACATTTTATTTTATTTTTTAAAATAACAGTCAACAAACTGTTCCCTACAAAATAAACAGAATAACAACTAATGACAGTTCAATGTTATCGGCATTTCTAAAAACTTTGTTTATAAAATTTTAATGAGAGGAAACATGTTTTATGTTAAAATGAAAATTTATGTGTGTATCATCTGAAGTTCAAAGACATAGATATATGTAAAGAGATATCCAAACCAAATGATAATAATAATAATAATAATAATAATAATAATAATAATAATAATAATAATAATAATAATAATAATAATAATAATAAATATTTATGTATTTATCAGATCAGATTAAATTCTCTCGATCGTCTGTAAGTAGCAATGATAAAATTGCAGATGATATTTTAAATAATATTGGTAGGTAACAATGAAAATAAATTCCATCATTCTATCAATGCCAAGAATCTTTTATTCAATCACATATAATATATCATGTGAATTTGACCAGTATGAAAGTATTATTATTTGCACTGGCATGATCGTTTTGGCAAATGTACTTTATCTTAATCCACATCATCAATATACTATTAAAAGTAATAATAATTTTCCGAGTATAAAAAGTAAGCCACACATAAATCTTATAAAGTTTTATCATGTTGTGAAAGCTTGGCATATGCGTGGGTGGCTATCAACAATACTTGATAGAATGTGATGTACGAAAGCGTAAACATAAAGGGGGGAAGGGTAGTTAGTTGATATAAGAATCTATATACATAAAAAGATTACTTGATATGTTTTGCAGAGCATTAACTTTTATGACGCATTCTTCATATATTTATGTGTGACAAATATATACAAGTAGGTATTTTTTCATGTCATTGACGGGAGATTCATGATAACATCAATACTATGCTGTACGATAACAGTGTAATGGAAATAAAGGGGGGCAGAAGAAGTATTCTGACATTTGTAATGTGCCAACAGATTATCTATTCAGTTTTTACACAAACAGTAATAACGCTAATTCTACAGGGAAACTGAACTGTATTTATCAGAAAGGAAAAAATTGAATGAATACATATTTGTCAAAATCCAACCACCATCGCAAAATTGTTTATTATTAAAATAAAACTTTGAAATTTCACAATGAGAATATTACCATCATAACATTGAAATCAAATTAACTGACCCACAATTTCAGCGTCAGTAAATTTTACTTTACCAATCCGAAGCCGTCAGTGATTGTTCCACCCTTGACTTGGTTAATTGCATATATTACAGCTGTATAGTGCTCCCTGATTTTATTCTTAACGAACTTATATGTAACATGTGCTTACTAATGACTAACTTCAAGAATTCCAGAAGTTCCGTTGAAAAGACATGAACAGTGGCGTTCCAGCATGTTAGGTGTGAGACAGGTACCGTTAATAAAAATAATTTGAAGTGGTTGGACTTTGAGACACAAGGAATCGGAGGTCATCTCAACAGTCCAGTGGTGACGTCCCGAATCAGAACTTTGAAGGCTTTGGGTCCCACACCTGCTCAAGTCTTTGGTGCATACTGTGTAACTATTACTTAAGGTATTTTAAACGGAGTATTATTTGGATTTCATAGAGTTGTAATGAATATCTATACATGAAAATCATTAAAAATTCTACAAGTTGTGGAATTATAACTCTTCAAATACATTAAACGATTGACAACCTGGTCGATTTTTCGTAGTGTATTTTAAATAATTAGATTGCAAACTAATACTACACTACATTTTTATTACTACAATACATATTCAACAATAAAATGCCATGTATATTTCATTCATGAGATTCACTATTCGTTTGTCTTAATAGCAATCTTCAGCTTTCACTATACCTACTATGTAGGTACGATAGTTGCCGAACCTTGTGAATCGATTATTCAATTTAATGAATCTGATTTTTTTATTTCATTTAAGCTGATTGAAGTTCAATAGGAAATCATGTTTCAGGTTGTTTGTTAACTGTCATCCAAAAGATCAGCCTATCATTTGCTAATAACTTTATGTGTTTAAATTTTCCTCTTATTAATGTTTGAGAGTAACTTAAACAGTTGTTGTGCCCATGTATATGCTTAGTAAACAGACACCTCGCTACTGTCCACATTTTAATATCAATTGCATTTTTAGATAAGGATTGGTAATAAATGCTATTATGTATATTTCGACCCATTTAGGGGAGAAAATGATCGATTCAGAGGTTAGGACTTGAAGTGAATATCTATTAGAAAGCACACTAATATCTAATACTCACAAAGTAAATAAACGGAAATATGACCCAAATTTCTAGATACTACGCCCTGAATATTCAAATATATATGGTCAACATTATCCCTAAAGTATTAAGTTAAGCTAAATGTTGCTTAACTATTCAACAGTATTAAAACGTTATATTCTGGATTCTGGGTTAAGTGAATGCTAACTGTATTTTGCTTTGTTTGGTAACATATAAGATCCAAAACCGTTACTAATAAATACAAACACCCTACCTCCTAAAATAATTTCACATTTTAACTTTCATTAAATTCCTTCCACTATTACTACAGGCATTTAGACCGTAAATAAACTTAAAAATAATCAGTTTGTAGTTTTAAGTCTCCATGTCTAAGATGGAAACCACTTTTTCGTACTAGGTTAGAGTGAAGAGCACGGTTCGTAAGAAAAGCTGGAAAGGGAAGAAAAAATGACTCGACATCTGAGCAAACATATGAAATGCATTTACATATAATGATGAACACAATCGAGAACAATTTACAATTATGCGAGATTAAGACAACTCGATAATTTGAACTGTGTTGTTAGCATGACACTTTCAATAGGTTACAGTGATTATTCCTTGAATTTTTATCCTTAAGGTCAAATTATTTTACTTTTGTTTTAATATAAATTCAAAAGATGTTATCAACGGTAGAAATTTCGTCTTACTAAATAGAATGAATGTATAAGTATATCAGTTTATTTACTAAAAAAACTGAAACATCATATATTATTTGATGCATTTATTTTATTTCCACGGGAATACAATCCTGATCAGAAATATGAAACAAAAATACTTAGAATATTCTAATTTCCAATATAAGCATTAAGTGGTCCTGGATTTGTATATATATTCTGTGTGTGTATATATGTAGTGCAAACACGTGCGCCTATTTGTTGTCTACAAATAAAAAAACAGCAGGAATGTAGACAAAATTAGGTCAAGTGCAATTGTGATTCACTAGTATTTAATACGTTTTTATTCTAGCAGTTGTGTAGTGTGTGTGTGTGTATCGCATCGCATAGCTTTGCTCTTCTCATTTTTTAAAATGAAGTTTTATTATCACGCTCTGGAGACTTAATTTTACAGTAAAATAATGAGGGGATGGATGGTAGAGGCCAAACATAATAAAAGGTGGTGTTTATGCCTATATATGTGTGTTTGAGTGAACCATGGGAGGAGGATACAGATATCACTGTACAAATACTTACACACGACATTAATAATAATAATAATAATAATAATAATAATAATAATAATAATAATAATAATAAAAGTGATGAAGATGCATAACATGTACAGACCAGATGGAGTAGACCTAAACTGTAACAAAGTTTTTCTTGGGCATTTTCTCGTTATAAAAAAGCCATGAATTTTAGTCACATCAATAACCTGTTTTTATGCATCTATGGATATTTAGAAAACGGTTATCTACATGTTGCAGATGGCACGTGAACAAACTACATTTTAAAAAAGCCTGAGCAATATACTTTTTGTTTATTGATATTGAGTTATCCTATATAAAAAAAGCTAATTTACAATGAAGTACATAGGTCTATATTGCTGAAGAAATTTAAAACTGAAGCGATTCCCCAAGTTGATTTTATTCATTAGTGTTCAAACTATTCAAATCTCTTCAATAAAAAATTTTCTAGATTATTACATTTATGAGAAGTGTAATTTTTACATTTTCTATGCTCCGGATCAGGTATTTCTTGTTTGCTAGTTTGGTTCTCTTTTGACACATCAATAGTTTCTTAAAGATAGCTTATACGATGAAGTCATTCTTGACCTTGGAAGCCACCGACTTCTTAATAATAATTTATTAGATTTTAGAAGAGTAAGTTAAAAAAGTTTGATTTTCTGAAAAGATATAAAGTTTAGTTTTTGCTTAAAAGAAATTTGCAGTTTGTATCAAGAACTGATCTTAGTTAGATAACCATTGAAAAGACCAGTAAGCATTGGATGGCAGTTTTCATCTCACTATGGGATTTCTCATCAATAAGTATTCATGACTACGATGGGGTTCGAACTCAGGGTCTTCGGACTTACGATAAGCTTTTAACATTTAGATCGCTGAATTCTCAGTATCATTTTTTGGTGCTTTCAATGTAAATTAATTTGGATTAAAGTTTGACCACAGTTTATTTACTCCATTCTTTCCTTTGACAAAAAAACACAAAATATATCAGTGCAATTGATCTACTCGATAGTTCCTATAAGTGATAAGATTTCGTCGTTTTTTATTCGAAATAACATCATTTCACTAGATTAACAAGCAGTTATTATTTTTATTGATTTATATTATAACTATAGAAGCTTTTTGAGTTCGGTTTTATGTAAAGGTTGTATTCTTCAAAAGATCATTCTGTATTGGGATATTTTTGGAAGACAAGGAACACTGGATAGTTATTCAGTCTTCCTATAGGAATTTTCTAGAATGACACTTTTTTCAAACTATGTCATTTCAACTAATATACGTAAAATGTCTCAGGAATGAACTATAGATGATAAAATAGAACAAAGCAAATATATAAGAATGTTTGGTTTAGTAAAGTGTTGAAAATTTATTCATAATGAAATGCATTTTCATAATGAACTGATGTCAGTTCGTCTTACAAATTATCTTCAGTTAAAATATTATTATAATACTATTGACCTTCGACATTATTGTGAATATTTAGAAAAATTATCTTGAATAAACTTCACAAAACAGATTGATCTCATTTATTCACAAGCACATATGCATACATATAAACATACACAATGGTAAAATACATTTCTAAACTGGTCAATAACTCCTTTGATAACATTAGAATAAGTTTACTACTTGATTTGTAATCAAAATCAAAATCAAAATGCATGTTTATAATAGGAACAGTATATAGGAAATAGTAACACTGATATACTGATTATCACTCTGATTTATGTTCTGTAGTTCATGTTTCTCTGAAATATGAAGGTGTTTTTTTTTTCTAGTCTATCCACTTCATTACATACATCAACATTTAAAGTACAATGATTATTGTAATTACTATTCATAAAAGCATTGAATTAATATGACTGTTTCATTATAATATGATCACA